GCTCTTAATAGCTTTATTAAACTCTCACACTATTATTAATGGCTTAACAACCTTCATAAATTTAGATTTAATGGCCATTTGTGGACATTAATAACATTCACCAACCAACAGCATCTAAAACCCTTAGTACTAAGTTTAAATACTCTAAACACTTCTTATTAACTTCATTTGAGTCAATGGATTTAGATTTATAATCTATATAGACTGAAAATTATCATCTCCATTTAAATCCTAACTCAAATCTTTGAGAAAATAGATTGGGAAGGGAGAATAAGAGATTAGAAAACTTATTTTTAAGGTTTGATAACTTCAAAATGTCTCTAACCTTCTTGAAATTGAAGCCTTAACAAAGTAAGGATGAGCTCCTTCGTCTTCCCCTTCTTCCTCTTCTGATTTCTATCTTAGTTCACAAGTCACTTATTAGATATTTTGGCCATGCTCGGTGACGCATGGCAATAAGAAGTCCTCTTTATTGCTATCACTTTATGTGCTACGGTGAATTTGCTATACGTCGAGACATGTGGCATAGAGGTTCCTTCTTCGGCCGTTCTCTCTTTTAGTGTTGGGATGGTCTAATTTCACTTTAAACTCATAATTAGGTCTGAAATCATAACCAAATACACTTATTAGATATCTCTGGCCACACATCACATTAAATTACTTAACCATCATGATTAAACTTAGTTAGTTTAGGGTTAAATTCTCTTAACATGTTACACTCGATGATTAAATTTGTGGTCAGGCACTTTTTTAGTAAATTTCCCAAAATATACAAGGGCCGCTAATCAGCTATGACTTGCCTCTGCTAATAGGCCCATCACTTAAGCCCGGGCCCATTCGCTGGTGGGCTGGGCATCTGGGATCAATATTCTAGTCCGTATCATTTTAAATCGCTGGTGGTCTTTGGCTACGTATTGGCGGTTCTAATTTTCCGGGTATATTGGTGTCGTTTGGCTGGTTTGGTTCTCATCTCGGCAGCACTCTTCATCAGTTCGTCCTCGTTCCCCTGTGGAGCTGCGTGCGGACGACATCGCGGCAGACGGGTGGAGCAGCCCCAGTAATTGGCGGGAGCAACAGCAGTAATGGATCGTGATTGGGGTTCAAAGCCTGGCAGTGGGGGCGCTGCCTCCGCCCAGAATGAAGCCATCGACCGTCGTGAGCGTCTCCGCCGACTCGCCCTCGAGACTATTGATCTTGCCAAAGACCCCTACTTCATGCGCAATCATCTTGGCAGGTCCTCTCTCTCTTCCTTTTTTTGCTCAACATCCCTGCACTCAGTATTTCTCCTTGTGCTTCTCATATTGAACTGCTTCTAGGTTTCTCTTTGTATTCACTGTTTTTTTTTTTTGAAGCTATGAGTGCAAACTTTGTCTCACTTTGCACAATAACGAAGGGAATTATCTGGCGCACACACAGGGTAAGCGGCATCAGACCAATTTGGCTAAGAGAGCAGCTCGTGAGGCCAAAGAGGCACCCGCCCAACCTCAGCCCCACAAGCGTAAAGTCTCCGTTCGCAAGACAGGTAAATCTTTTATTTTGAATTTGGTTAAGTAGAATGTTGTTTGATAGATATATTTTAGATGTCATTATCATCCTTAGCCAGGAGGGTTGGGCTTTGCTTTGCTGCAATGCTTTCTGGAATGGTACGAGGATAGGTGTAGATTTCGATATTATGTTAGCCAGACAGTTAGGTTCCTCTGTCGATCAATCTGGATAACTAGTGTGTATTAACTGCATCTCTATGCTTTGCTTTGGTGTTTCTTGACGCTTTTGTACATTTAACTTGAAACTCGATAGATGTAGGGAAAATACATTTACTTTTTGTTTAACTCAAGCAAATTTTTCTTTTTATTATCTTCTTGAATAAATAAAAAGAATTATTTCATGGATATTCAATGTGTTGACAGTGAAGATTGGTAGACCTGGGTACCGAGTGACCAAGCAATATGATCCTGAGACAAATCAGAGATCTCTTCTTTTCCAGGTGTTCCGTCAGCTCAGTGTGATCCTTTTCTAAAAAAAATAAAATAAAATTCTTTTAACATCAGATAATACTATTTTATTTATTTTTACATATGCTTTGTAACGTAGATTGAATATCCTGAGATTGAAGACCTAGCAAAGCCAAGGCATCGATTTATGTCTTCTTATGAGCAGGTAGACCCTTATTTTTTTGATATAATTTCTTCTAATAGCTTCTCCTGTCTTTAAGGTTTTTACTAGCAATTTTTTTGGTCAACTATGAGTAATTTATTATAATTAACTCTTGCCTGCATTTTATCAATTGTGTTTGAAAAACCTGAGCTAGTATTTTGTTTGTTTTTTAAATTTTTGATCATATTTTCATGGACACAGAGAGTGCAACCCTTTGATAAAAGATACCAGTATCTTTTGTGCGCAGCTGAACCATACGAAATCATTGCTTTCAAGGTATGTCATTGCCGTTGTGAATGGCTCACCTATGCATTTCACTGTTTGTGCTGATTATTCTACGTTTTTAGGTTCCCAGCACAGAGATTGACAAGTCAACTCCAAAGTTTTTCTCACACTGGGACCCAGACACAAAGATGTTTACGGTCAGTTGTTTTATTCTTTCCTCCAACGGGTTGATATCTTGACTGTATATGTTGGATTTGTGCATATCTTTGTCTGACATTTGTGGGATCAGTAATAATGTTGATGAAGTCTCGCTTTCCATTGATGAAGACATTCCTGATCATCACCCCCTCCTTTGAAATAAATTTTGAAAATGAAAACAAATCAACAGTATTTAACCAATTTTTATATTTTTCAAGAAAATTAATGCTTAGGCATGTACAAGTAATAGATACAAGCTGATGATTCTGGTGTGTAAAACTTTTGACACTATTAAGCATACTTCAATTGCCAGAGTGGTAACTTAAAAGCAAACCTTGATGCGAAGTGTGAATCGAGTAAATGAGCTGCAGATGAGAACTGCAGATTGTTTTTTATCTCTGCTGTCTAATATGAACAAGGGGGTGTTAAATCTGCAGTTGCAATTGTATTTCAAACCGAAGCCACCAGAGGCAAACAAACCCCAGCCTACCTCAGCAGCCAATAGCACAGCTGCACCGGGTGTTCCAGCAAGGCCTATGCCTCCACCATCTCAAGCTCCACCACCGCCACCTCCTCCGCCTCAAGGCTTACCACCTAGTGTGCTTCTTGGAAATCCTCCCAGAGCTCCACCACCTCCGATGCCTGGATCATTGCCCCCGCCACCCCCACCTATGTCAAATGGCCCTAGATCTGCATCTTCTGGTGGAATTGCTTCTATCCCACCTCCACCTCCTGTTGCCAGCAGCGCAACAGCAAGTTTCAACATGGGTACTAGGCCTCCATCTATGCCACCTGGGCAAGTTTTCCCGGACAACAAATGCAGGGCCAGGTTGCTCATCCGCCACCGCCGCCGCCTAGAATGGATAATTTAATGTGAGAGCAACATGTCTTTCTGGACCAATGGAGCGATGCTATTGGGTTCTAAATGGGTAGATGATTGACTGAGAACTGTAACTAAGCAGTAAGCCCTTTGGTCTGAAGACAAAAGGAACTGTTAGCCATTTTAGAATTGTCTGTGTAATGTTCTTTTGATCTGCGTCTTCATTGATTTTTAATACAAGTTACGATTACGATTTGGGTGTATAAACTATAAAGTCATCTAATCTAGCATTGTGCCTAACGAGTGTGTGTGTGTGTGTTACAGGGGGTATTATTCGTAAATTATGAATTATAAAATTTTCTTTATTTTTTGGTTATTTCATGCAATTTTTTTTTTTTAAATGGAAGTGTCTAGTTATTAAATTACCACATTTGGAGGGAAATATTAGGGCATAGCATATGCCTATAAGCTCGTTTGATATATATATATATATATTTAACCCAAACAAGATTTCAGATCTTGTAATGGTCTTTTTACTCCCGTCTGAGGCTTGGACACCCCCCAAACCTCAGTTAGGGGATAGGCCAAAACACATCCTATGTCTGATAAGGGTATCATACTTTATCAGTTCAGTTACCCCCGGGGGCCTTTCCAGATCAGCATTTACCGACCGGGATCCAACGATTGTCCGAGGACATTGTGTCGTTTAATTGACTTCATATTTACGGTTTGAAGATTCATCCTTAACTTATTTCTTGCAAACATTTTCGTAAACGTTTTTAGTTCATACCGACGGTTGATGCTTTGTAAAGGAGAAATTCAAATATTCCCTTAATGAACCTCCTGATCTGTAAAACCTGGCTAAAATTGCCTGTGCATTTGCATATGCTTTATGTTTGAATCAAAAAATATAATTATTGATCATTATAATTTTATTGATTAAACCCTTATAATTTTTTCAATGTTTTTAGTCTTTGTAAGGATTAAAAACATTGAAACTATAAAGACTTGAGTAATAAATGTCACGTTGAAATTATAAAGATTAAAAACACTAAAAAAAAACTAGACATTAAAAGTAGTATCTAATAAAACTATAGGATTGAAAATTATATTTTTTCTTTTTAAATTTATTTGTCCATTTGTTCTGTTGACGGAGTAGTTCAAGTTTCAATGTCATCCTTCAATTTGGTGCAATTTTTTTGACATGGAAGCAACATGTAAAAATTTAAAATATAGATTTAAGTTTGGATTCAGATGGAGAATGAGTGTGGTTAAGTGGGGTAAAACTATTGACCCAAAAAAAAAAAAAAACAGTGGAGTAAAACTAACTCTTCCCCCGGAAACCAACAGGTGCATTCAATTCATGGTATGATAATAACAAGTGATCTAGTTTCCCTGAACTAGCAGCAAAATGAATAGCCCTGCCAGAATATTCGGATCTTTTTCACTCTGCACAAAAGAAACAAGGCCAGCTTCTTTCCACATAACATAAGAAAACCGAGTAATTATAATCTCCTTATGACAACACTGAGAAGGACTAAAAATGAGCATTAACAGAAATTACCTTGGCATGACATGATTTAAGCTACAATAGACGAGACAATACACAAATAAAAAGCCAACTATATATTATTTAAAAAAAAAAAAAACTTTGAGTGCGCGGGAAGATAAAGGACAAAGGGCGAAATCAGGCCATGAATCTTTACAAACTAAAGAAGATAAAATTAGACCCACCCAATTGTTAGGGTCATCTACCCCAATACTTACAATATCTGATAAATTTTCTTCTCACTAACACAATCACCAAGGTGTCCGTGGCCCAGCAGCCACTTACTAGAGACATCCAAGAGCGTGCCCAAAAGGGGGGCAAATGCCTAGCAAAGTCCATCAGTTGAATTTAACCTCAACTTTAACCCGTCATTGCATTTGGTGGGAACACTTTCTGAATAAATTCCAAGAAGCGACGTGAGTAGAAAGTAGGGTCCACAGCTGAGATCGACAATGAATCAAACTGGAGAGATTTATACGCATGTTCAATCTTCTTAGTCATATTGTAATCTTGCAATATGTCGATGATGCCTAGGTACAGAACAACGTCATATGCCTCATGGAACATTTGTTTCTCCTGTTTTCCTGGAATCAGCTCTGCCCTCGCAGGCATGTTGACACCTAGCTGGATTTGAAGTCTGCTTAACAAGTTGTGAAGAGAGAAAAAACCTCAGTCTCGAAAATTTCATAAAACTTATCCGTCTAGTGAAAAGGAAAATTTTGATATTAAGTGACGTGAATAGGTAGAAAAAAGAACAAAACAATGAGAGATCATTTCCAAAACGATTAGCATGTAGCAGTAGTTAGGAATCTCATCTAAGGGAAAATTCATGTGTGAACTGCAATAAATTACAGAGTGTTTTAGGATCCATAAAGTTTCCAGTCACTGGGGAGAACATGAAAAGTTTGTTTGCAATTCAATTTGTAGTAAGGCATTCCATGTACTTTGGAATTAATGTATCAAATCCCAGCCTTGGAAAAATAATTAAAAAAATCACAGGTAAGATGAGGAGAGCTACAAACTTAAAAAAACAAAAACAAGTGTTTGGTTACGCATTTAAAAGTGCCATTAGACAATTTGTCAACAACAGTGAACGTAATTTTCTCTATAATACACATTAAAGTAATGACACAACAGATTGCGCAAGAGCACTATGACAGAAGTAACATAACGAATTGATAACAAGGCCATTTGAACTCGTAAACAAACCATACCTTGCTGTACCAGGTAGAAGGAGATCCACTTCTTCATCACCAGCAGCTGAAGCTCGCAAACGGCTACCCTTATGTGAGGGCCCACGACAACACTACTATCATCGGCTCCCCGAGGGACCAGAACAAGGCCTTCTGGGTAGTTGGATACTTCATCCTCTAGTGGGTCTGTCGGTTGATCAGGAGCAGTGTATTAAATTAATTAGTTTCAAGTCCATGATCTAACAGAAAAGTAAGAATAGATGACATATATAAGGAGGGAAATTCTCGTATTGTGGGAACTAGTGCTCCTAATAATTTGGACTCGAGGGTGATACTTATACTATACGGCATATAAGTGTTATTGCCCAGATTTCTTATCACGGCTAGACCAAACATGATGATAGGCAAAATTCTAAGCTGAAGCCTTTTAGAATCCCGAACATCATAAACTTTAAGTAGAGAAACTTGGCTTTAGTTATGCCTGTCATATGTTACAAATTATAACATAGAAATTTATTTTTATCATGGTTAGGTCAAACAAAGGCCAGCCTGGGACCGGAAAAAAATAGATAGCCCCACGAGAATTAATCCCCTTTACTGCCTAATGGTTAAATAAGTAGTGCTTGTAGCATCTGTTGGTTACACTCAAGGTTGGGGGCATGACATTGTCCTTCCACGGCACATCATCTGAATTACACAAGAAGCATGTAAAGCCACACCTTGTATATCTGTTTTCGTGAGTTGAATCTAATACCCACCTTCCTCAGCAAGCATTGCTAATCCATCTGTATTGACACTTTGGTTGTGGGACAGGAGAGAACGCAGGTGTTGGGGAGCTCGATAGTGTACACCAAGAAGAAGGCTGTAATCCATAATGTGTTGTGCTTCCAAAAACTTACTGTCTGTTTCAATCTGCCTGCGAAAAGTACAAGAGGAAATATTCCATATTTGCTGTTAGGGTCCAAGCTTCAAATTTTGCACAATCGATATTGCTGCTTTTTGGCAGTTATTGCTTCTAAAAGGCAACAATTTAAGGGGGGGGGGGGTAAAGGATTCATTTCGTAACAAAAGTTCACATTTATAACATACATACCAAAATATGTGTGAAGAGCTACGCTGACCCATGGGACAATGGCTTCAAGAACTCATAAAGTGCAGTATAATAAGATATACATATTTGTTTTCTATTTGCTCCTTGTTGCTTTGTCTAAGGACAATATCCCATTCTTTTCCCTCCTCTCATAATACTCTTTTATCCTAAAATATGTCAAATGTAATGAAGGAGAAATGACAGAAGATTTTTTTAAACTACCACTTACGTTAACAAAGACTCTCGCCAAGATGGTTCCAAGTAAAAGCAGTAGCTCAGATCCAAATCTTTAAGAGTAGTACTCTCATCAATTTCTACCTTGTCTGACGAGCGTCCGAGGGATGATCCTTTTAAATCAAATCTCCGATGGATCCTCAATTCTGTGCAAAACATATTTCCCATTACAACAAAGCGGAACTGCACAACAATTTTTATATACACCCATTAGCCCGTTGCTCAAAGGATACACAGATTATTGAAGTCATTTTGCATGAAATATGCAAACTATGATAGAGTCCAATCTTTGAGGGAGTAAATAAACTGCGTGTACTAAAATTCTAGGTTGCAAGTATAAAGGTCAAAGTCCTCCTATTAACAAGCATTACTATGACTCTGAAAAATGACTTGGGCACAGAAAAATGCCGCTGGGTCAAAATGAGTGTTACCTTTTGCCCACTTGAAGGTTTAATCCTGTGAAGACCAAAGAATTTTGTGATTAGTGTGTTCTCATATGACTTCACATGATGATGATAGTCTGGAAGCATTCTTAGAAGAACCTACAAGACAATTTTCTGTCAGTTGTATCTGAATTTTACAACGAATATAAAGGAACTAGCAAAAAGCGAGTTGATATCATTGCCAAATATGATATTAACAGGTTTGTTTTCCATTTCACATAAGAATGATGCCAAACTTGTAGGAGATTATTTCTATTACTTAAAGATAAATTATCCATGCAAATTTTTAAGAAATTATACCCAAAAAAAAAAAAGATCACTGCTGCCAGAATTATCATGCAAATTGCAACCTGTGCACGGTTGAATGGGATTAACCACACCAACTGTCAGTGGGTCCTTCTAATGACAACCTGTGCATGGTTGCACATGCCAACTAGAAACTTTGCTTTGAAATTCC